CACAAAAAGACAGTGCTGAAGATAATGTTTGTATAAAAATAGTTTTGACAATATTAAAACATAAGAGGCACAACTCTCCTCAGTCACTTTAGGTCTGTCAAGTTCTTGTWAATGAAAATAAACTACATCAATCTTTTTTCTAGCAGCAATACAAGAAAACAAAAGGACACAAGATTAACAATGCACCATGTTTGTGTGAAATAAAGTGTCTTGAGCAGTGGTGGGCACAGTTCCCCTAAAGCGCTAAAGCACTAATAGGGGAACTAATTTCTTGATTAGTGCTTTAGGGCTTTTGCTAATTAAAAAAATATTAGTGGATTAGCACTTGCTAAATTTAGAAGCACTWACTGAGGTCTATAAATGTTATTGATCAACATTAATGTGAACAGCTGAGGGTGAAAACKGTCGCACATTTTGTTCATGTGTGTGTCACTTATCAACCAGGTGACAATACATTGACATTATATGAACCCAAATACGACTGTGGAATGTCAATGATAAGTATTAAGAGAGYAACATGGCAACATGTGACTCATGTTGTCTGTTGAAGAATGTTTATGGGTTGATTAGGTTATTTTAGTGCTTCAGAATTAGCTTTTGCTAAAATTTTCAGTGCATTAGTGTTTTAAAATTAGGGGACCTAAATATTTGAGTTAGTGTTTTAGGACAAGTGGAACAAATTTTTAGATTAATGCTGCCCACCACTGGTCTTGAGTTTCATAGTATGGGGCAGTACTGCCCACATCTCAAATGCAGAGATTCCAGAGAGTCCTGAGACTGCAGTGCACCTCGTTCCCCATTAGATGTCCTCCTTGTCTGTCTCACAGCTGAGGATCCCCCCTCAGGGTGCACTCTTCCGTCAGGGATTTTAAACTCAACTGAAGTGAACGACGACAGACTGCCATTCCTGTTTGCCCAAGTTTTGGACGTGTCGACGTTTGGCGACACCCTGAAGCCTTTTCCTGTCACACAGCCTGAGTTTTGCTTCCCACTCCTGATGCTGGCGTCGTCTAAAAACGGGTCCGAGTCGCTTCCGTGAGGCATGTTGAAGTAGGTGCACTTTGGATTTTGAGGCCTCGCCATCTCCTCGAGCTCTGACGAGGAGATGGCTGCGAGGGGACCGTGCTGGGTTTTGGTGTAAGGCGGGGAGTCCTCGCTCGTGTTCTCCTGAGCTGTGTCCACGGACGTGCTGTCCAACTGACCGTACATGCCCAGGGACACTGGAGGAGATTTTCTGATGAGATGGTTCTCCTTTAGGAGCCATCGCCCGCGGTCGATCAGAACGCCATCGGATGAGTTGTTGCTGAGGGCAGAGGGGGTGCGTTGTGGGTTTTGTATTCCGGCTTCAGGGTCTGCTCTTAATGAGCTTGCAGCACTGACATAAGAGACATCTTCCCTTGAAGCTGTGTCATAGGACAAAAAACTCCCGTTTCTTTTTATTTGGGAGCTGTGCAAGGCTTCCGATCGTTTTGAGTCAGCTTGTTTCACCTTTATTATCCCATTTATGTGTGCCGAATGAGAGTCGACTGAAGAAGGTTTCTTTGAAGACTCTTCTTCTGAGACAATATCTACTGACTTCTCTGTTTTATATCCACCACTCCCTGATGAGTCAGGTCTGTAATCAGACAAATCAGACATGATTGGGCTTGGAAGACATTTCGTACCGTAATTGGTATCTTTTCTGGTTTTCGGTATCTTACTTTGTTTTGTTTGTACGACTCGAGCATTGTCAGGCACTATCCTAACRTTCCCCTGATGGTCATATGTGAATATCAGCGAGTAAGACTGGAGGGCATCGTTCACAAAGTCAAGTAATTCCTGGGAAATTTCCACGGGATGAGATAAACTGTTGCTTTTCTCTGCGTGCTCATCTCCTCCCTCGTCTGTTTCAGGAGCAGTTTCTGTACCTTTGTCATCCTCACACAGGCCTTCAGAGGAGCATTTAGAAGGGGATTCAGTGTTACGTTCTACATTCGCTTCTTCGGCATCTTCTAAAGTGTTTTTGCAAATCTCATCAACTAAACTGTCCTCAGAAACACTCTCAACTTCTAGTCGTGTTTCTACGTGACTTTCTTCTCTACTCGTCTGCACTGTTGTGTTTTCTTCACCCTCCAGTTTATCTAATTCTTCTTCTGCTGATTCTTYCTCCTCAACACTCCCATCATCCATATCTTGATCGCATTTTTCTTCTTCTGTAAAGTTCTGGATATCATTTTTTTGATGTTCACTCGCTTCTTCCTCGTCCTCGTCACTGTTTCCCTCACTGGCCCTCTTTGTTAAATGCCTTATTGCCTCAACAACATCCTGTGWTTTCTCCTTTCCCTCCCCAAAAGCTTCATCTACGACCTCCTTGTCTGTTTCTCTGTTCTCCTCCATGTTTTCTTCTTCTTCCTCCTCAACAACGTTCCTTGCTCCCTCTGTGATTTCTTGCACTTCCTCCTCTGAGCGTTCAACAAAACTTTCTTCCCTTTCCTTTTCATWAGTTGTACTTTCTGCCTCACTGTCTTCATTGCAGACTTCCTTCTCCTCAAATCCTTCTTCTACATTGTTTTTCTCATCCTCTCTGTCGTCACTAGAATCTTCGTCTCGCTCGTGAATTAAAGTTTCTACTTCAGGTTCTTTTGCACTGTTTYCCTCCTCCTCCACAACCTCACAACAAAAATCCTCTCCCTCCTCAACCTCGCTCTTGTTAGTAAGGGTTTCTGTCTCATCTTCATCCTGCAGTTGCTGTTCCTCAGATTCTCCACTGTGTTCTTCCTCTTCCACATTACCAGGTGTTTCTCCTTTCTCCTCCTGCCTCTCACTGATTAAACTTCCTGCCTCATCTTGATCGTCTTGTTCCCCTCCCTCACTGTTTCCYCCTACCTCTTCATAAGAGTCTTCTCCTTTCTGTTGCCCCTCAGTGATAGTTTCTGCTTCATCTTCTTCATCTTCATCCCTTTCCTCGCTGTTTTCTTCCACTGTCTCATCAGCACCCTCTCTCTCGTCTGTATCTTCATTTCCTYTTTCCTCATCCACTGATCCCTCATCTTTCCCCCCAGTTTCATTTTTGCCTCYTTCCTCTAATCTGTTCTTTATGACCTCCTCATCCTCTGTTGTATGTTCTTCTGTCCCTTCTTCTATTTTCTCAACAGATTGCTGGTCACTTGATTTCCCGTCCTCCCCATCGCCCTGCTTCTCTTCCTTTCCTTCCTCTAAATCTTCTTCCTGTTTTGATTCTTCTATCTCTTTCTTTTCATAATCTTTTATGTCTTCCATAACTCCATAATCCCCAAWCTGCACTATCTCTTCTACCTCATCTTCCTCAACTTTTGTTGGYTCATCCTGAGCTTCATCTGTTTCATTTACTTCCTGTTTTGTCTCATTTATGTCCTCAGCTGCACTTTGAAGCTCCGGTGAAAGTGTTGTTCYGTTTTTGTATTCACTAATAAATTGCTCCACATCGTCCTCTGAGTCTGATTGGCTTTTAATCGTATCAACAAACGTGCTCTCCTCAACAGGATAAAAGCTTTTAGTGTGTTGGATTGTTGAAGCAATCTCCTCTCGGAGATCTTGCGGCAGGTTCATCTCGTCCATCAGCTCGTCGATGCCCRACTGCCGATCCTCAAACAGATCCCCGCCTTCAGAGACTACATCCAGCGCAAACTCGGTCTCCGAAACTCTGGGCGAAAGTGGTTCACTTTCCAGCCTTTCCCTGAGCAGCTGGAAATCCTTCCAGCGCTCCCTGAACTGAGACGATGCTCTGCTTTGCAAATCGGTCAGACTCGCCCTCTGCTCGTCCTCGTCCTCGATGGAGGAGATCTTCTGCAGGGACTCCATCATTAACATGGCCTCCGACGTGGTTCTTGACTGGTTGCCCTCCCCTGATGTGGAGCCTTTCAGGCTGTCTTTCAGAGACACTATGGACAAGAACGAMAGGAAAGCTTTACACGACGAGCCGAACACTGAGGCAACTTGTGTGGAGAAACTGGGAAGGCTGCTGGAATTGTGGAGAGCGGATGTCGTGTCGCTGGTTGACGATCTTCTAATGCACTGGATCGATGAGCAAAGCTGCCGAAGGACAGGTTTTATTGTGTCTTTGGGGCTTAAAAAGTTAGGCGAAGACATTTCGCCATCGTCCGRGCCGATCGCCTCCGCCGATTTGTGCGACCTGAGTCTGTTTTCCAGGAYTGCTGGATCAGCTCTGATGCTGGGCATGGAGACACATAAACCTCTTGCCCTTTGCTCGCTGTGCAGCAGAGATGTTGGCAGGCCTTCATGGAAAAGTGGAACCGACAGACAAGAGGAGGATTTCTTCATGGCCTCCCCTACATTAGTCTGTAAATTAGTTTGGCGTTGGGTTATTTCATCCGACTCAGAGTCGTCGCCGATCTTAAACACAACGTTTGGCTTTGACTCTGCTTCATCTGTGACAATCTCTTCAGTGTACGGCACCAGGTCTGGGCTGACGTTTTCCAGCCAGTTCTCAACGTACTGATGGATTTCTGAAGGGGAGGGATTGAGAGAAGGGATCGAATCACTCCTGCTGACTTCTACATTCATTTTTGGTGGTGATAGTCTGCATTCATTTAGAGATTTTGGTCTGCTGATCGCCTTTGCGCTTGACGAGGGAGATTTTTTTGTTTGTAAGAAGTCYGACATGTTCTTCCTCATTTGAGGTCTTGTGGTTGGCATGTTTAGATTTTGGCCGTTATCTTTTGCTGCTGCTCTGTTTGTGCTTTTTCTCTTAGGAGAGGTTATTTTACCATTTCCCGAGTGAAGTAATAAGGCTGAATCCTTTTTGGGCAACTTTTCATCTTTGACAGATTTTTTAGATTGAGACTTTTCCGCTTTCTTTTCCGCTTCTTTGTTTTTTAGACCAGCTTTTGATTTCTCCGATGAATTCACGCTCTTTTTGCCGACGCTGGCATCGCTGCTCAATTTATCTGTGGATGAAGTTTTACTATGTTTGGAGGCACTGATTTCTTTGTGTTTCTTCTCTGTGCTGCTTGCTGAAGCTGAGCTCCTTTGATGCCCAGCTGGCTTCATCATCTTTTTCTTCTTAGTGCTTTTAGGGGTATTATCTGTTTTCACTTTCTCTGTGATTTGTGTGTCGACAGCTTCGCTCTCAGTCACCGAAGATGGATTGTTTGTAACCTGACGTGCCAGTGATTCTGGCTCAGATGATAGTGAAAGCATCTCCTCTTTCTGCCTCTGTAGTGACTCAGCAGTGGGCGGCTGCCAGTTACAATCTATATCACAGTCGTTGCTGGAGGAGCGAGGCCTCAAGTCAGTGGATGTTTTGCTTTCTGCTCCATCTACACTGTACTCCTCATTTGCAACGTAGTTGTCATAACAGCCCTGACTCTCATAAATATGCATCACTGTCTCTGTAACCTCCATCCCATCATTCTGTATCTGTAGGACCTCAGCTACCTCCGATGTTCTAACAGTGGAGCGTTTGCTGTTCCCTCCTGACGACGCTGTTCTCCGAGGTTTTGGAATCGGCATGCTGCTGCTGCTGCTGCTGTGTCGGACAATGCAGTACTCCTCCGTGGTCTCACCATCTTCAGTCCTCTCCATGTAGGAGTAACGTCCCGTGGTGCTCTCTTGAACCTCTGTTTCTGTAACCACCTTTACATTCTCAACAGATGCCTTCTCGTTAACATGTCGAGGACCCGGYGTAGGAGTGCGCTTGAATCTTGTTTTTGCTTTACCCAAAGTTGTTGACGTGTAGCTTTCGTCGAAGCTAACAGCTGCATCGTAGCAGTTCTCTTTTGTTTCGTCCCCCTGAATGTTTGAGGAGTCTTTGGCAACAGTGTTGTGGGAGTCAGGTGAGTTGTTTCCTGACCCAGAACCGGCACAAACCGTCCTCTTGCTAAGGCTGGAGCGGCTGAGCGTGGTCGTCCAGTARAGCATCTCCTCCTCCTTAATCGTCAGGCGGACTTTCATCTCCACTGTCATGCTGCCATCTGGATTCACGCGGAAAGACTTTTCGACGTCATCATCCTGAGGCACARTGCTAGCATTCTGCTCGTTATCCCCCCGTCCAGTTTCACACATTTCCATRGGTGAGCGATGCTGACGGACTTCTGCGTCCACCGACCCGCTGGGATGGTGAAGGTAGCTGTTCAAGCTGCCATTCTGGGACTTGTTGATCTGGTTTACGATGAATCGCTCTGAGGARAGGGAGAAGTTTCTCGAGCGTCTTCCACTCGATGAAGATTTGTTTTTTTCTGGTTGAGTTTGTGAGGGAAACAATAAAGACAAAATGAGAAAAAAAWGATTGTTGAACAAGTTTCAGAAAATATGTTTGACGGTAAAGTTAAACAAACATGGTTGATCTAGCAACAAATCATGTTTACTAGCTTTCAAGTTGTTACTTTATTAATAATTGGAGTTGTTTTTCCCACTGATTCTTGTCTGCTGTRTTGGACAGTTTCAGGCTATAACCTTAATGTTACATCCTACAGAAAAGAAAGAGGAACCAGTGGTTTAGTTACCCATATTAGAGCTTTAGGGTCAAGATYAACATAGAAACTTAAGAATTTTATTTATAAAAATCACACCTACAACAGTCTTTAAAAACTGCATGATATTGAGTTTTTGCAACACATTAAACTGCCAATAAAGTATTGTTTCRACTTTTAAGATGCCAAAAAGGGGGTGACCAGTGACCACTGTAATGCAAAAGGTTCAATAAAAACCAACATTTACTCAACGTTTTGCATGTTGAACTATGGAATTTCACAAAAGAGGTGCAATTTTTGCCCCTTTATTGATTGTTTCAGTCTGCCAGCAACATAAAACCAAGATCAYAAAAGCAACATATTAAAGCATGACTGATCTACTCCGTGATTGTTCAGAGTTTTTACTCTTATTGATAATGCAGTACAAAAAATAAAGATTTTATTTGTGAGAAATTTAAAATATGTTACGTTTCAAAGATCATCCATTTGATTTTTCAACACTTACGAGCTCCGTGCTGCGTCGTTGATGGTTCCATATTTTCCACAAACAGAATYTGAGCTGCCTGGCTTGTTCTATGGAAGTTGTAGTTCCCTAATCTGAACGGCTCATTGCCTGCAGCCACAACCACTCCAGAGCACAGGATAAGAGAAGCAAGACCATCGACCTAAAACAAGAGAGGAGACGAATTAAACAGAAAAMTGAAACACTTTAAATGGTCGCATTTAAAAAGAAATTAAAGTTGTACACTTGAGTTTTTTAAGTGTTCARTTTGTGTAATCATTTTGTGCTTGTAAGAATAAGTAATTTATTTTTTTGCTGCACATCTTATCTTAAAAACTAGCAATGACAAAAATAGCAAATACTAAAGATGTTAGTAAAGACCATCTGTAGATATTTTTAACAYAAGATGTGTTGCTGAAGGACAACCAGGATTAAAGAAGTAACTCACCGGGGGGAGATATTTACTTCTTAATACGTCTTGTAAGCTCTTTTAAAGTGACATTGCAAATATTTAAATTCAGTTCTTGTATTGTCTAAGACGACTTTCCTACAAGCAGAAATTGTAAACTCAGTCATAGGTAGCAATGCAGTTTTGTGAACATGATATATATAAAAAAAAAATTTAAGAAATGGTAAGTCTCTGGTATCTAATCCTTAATGCAGTTAAATGAGATTTTTGACCAGGCAGATTTGCGATGGTCAGCTGAAAGTTYGGGTTTTCAGATAAAATAAGTATATTCCAAGAATAAAAATAAGCCATTKCACTTTAAGAAGTGACTTTTGAGTGTAGAAATAGTGTCTACCTGAGTTTTCCTTTATTTAACCTTCCTAAGATAGTAAGTCCCTTAATTACAGCAAGGGCTTCAAACACAGCTTGGGGCTATCTGAAAACTTGCTGTTTTATTTGTTCGCAGTTTCCTGCACCATGCACTTTATCAATCCTTTTTAAATTAAAATCTGTCTTTTGTTCGTGTGTAAATCACTAAAAGRTCTTTGACTCGAGCTGAACTCATGGATGTACAAGTTGTGTTGTACCAMTAGTTAAAGCCTTGCTTCTCCCTTCTGTGCTCATTAGTTTGCTCGGTGTTCACCTTCTAATCGAACAAGAAGATGTGGACAGATACAGTTTTTCAGTCACTTACTCTTCGTCCGTCTGTAGTGTAGAGTCTCAGCACTGGAAACTGGAGGATCTGAGACAGGTAATCCAGCAAAGCATCGAAAGTCGGCGCCGTTCTTCTCTGCAGCACAATTGTTCGTTTAACCGTGGGATCCCTGTTTTTGAGAACTTCAAGCTTCTTGGGAGTCCGTACCGCCACCCTGTCAGTGATCTTGGCTGGCCTGCTGGCAGCATCGTTCCTTCTACYAAACTGACCCAGTCGGAGCGCCTGGCGCTTCCGTCTCCCTGCACTTACTGGTCTGGTTGTGTTCCAAGGTACCTGCCGCCGGGTAACCTCSTCCAGGTTTAGAGGCTTCACCCGTTTCTGATCAGAACACACATAAGCTCCCCCGTCCTGTAAGTCCTCTAAAGCTTTAACAAGGTGAATCCCCCGCGGAGTGGTGACGGTTCTCACGCCAAACGGCAGAGGCACTTTTTTGGACAGAGCGTCCAGCAGCGAGTCAAACGTCTTGAAGGTGCGAGCAGTGATGATCATACGATGGCCACTGAATTTGTAGTCCCCGCTTTTGTAGAAGCACACTCTTTTAGAGGCTGCAGGGTCAGATGTGGGCTGCACAGGCTGGGAGGGTAAAATCTGCCCACTGCCAGACTGCAACCCTCCCTGGGCTGTGGACTCCTGTCCAGGTGTGGTACTCATAGTGAGTGAAGGTGGCTGGAAATAAAAATAAAAAAAGATTTTAAACCGTACCACTGTAAATATTATTTTCAAATATGGTTGAAAACCGTTTTTTTTTTATTCCTCACAGTTTATTGTATTAAACCACCCATGGTTTTTTTTTTTTTGGCAAATTCCACTTTATTTATTTATTAATCAACTCTATTGTAAACAGTTAACTAAGAAAAAACTAAGAATTATACATAAACTTACCTATAGGTTGTAAAAGTGTTCATTTAAAAAAATCCTCATGTTGAGTTTTAAATTTAAAAAGTGCATTTTTTTGTTTAAGAAAGGTAAAATTAAAATAACATTTGCAGATTTTTAAAATATTTTATTCGTTAAAAAGTTAATTTAACCTTGCGTGTCAATCAGTCCTGATCAAACAGGATATTTAAAGTGATACGCAACTAATAAATAAACTTGCATGTGTGAATTAGTGTAAATGAACTAAATAATTATCTTGAAAACAGCAAAAACACACAGAAATACTAAAGTTGTGTCTCGTCATCTTGATGATTGTCTAAGTAAAATGTGAGGTTTGTTTTGTTAGTATGTTATCTTCTACAACAGTTTTTTAATTAAATTTTTGATGAGGTTGGAAAAAAATAATGAATCTTAATGTTTCAATAACAAATAAACTTTTATTAAGATGTATTACAGAACTGTTGGGTTACATGAGGCTCAGCAAAAGTAAACAGGTTAGTTATTGTTTTCATGCTTTTTTTATACCAACTTGGTTACAAGTAGGCCTAAATATAATACAGTAAAAAAAATACTTCAACTTTAAAAACAGAAAATCTTCTGTTAAAGCAGACATTATTATTGTTGAGGTATTTAAGATTTCTTCTTTGATTTATATAAAACCATCCAATTTGAGAAACAACATCATCGCAGAAACAAATTTACTCCTAAACTAATTACTCTTCAATCATTCAATAAACAGCAGGTCTAACTGAACGTGAACACGTCTAACACTCCTCCAACAACAACAAAAAATAATAATAATAATCAAATAAATGACATCTCACGAGAACAAACATGAAAACTGACCTGAAAAGCACCAATGTAACGAAACAAAGTTCACCGGAAAGCTGTCATTTCTCCTTATTTATGACAGGAAGCGTGTCTGTTGCTGTTCTACGGCTCATCAAAGCCTCTCAGCACCGTTTCAGTGCTATTTTTGGACRAGCAACATCACGGCCAATTTGCTTAATCTTTGCTAACACTTAATCATCACCTATGGTAGGAAGAAAAGGAAATACTGTTTATGTACAAACTGGAAATTTAGACAGTTTTTCTTTTTTATCATTTCAAGAAGGTAGTTTTTTTCTTAAATGAGTGCGATGTACAGAATTTTTTTGTTTTGTTTTATTTAAACACATTTTATCATAGCTGCCTATGC